ATCATTGTGTCTAGTTTTTAGTACACCTGTTACGTCATATCTGGTGTATACCTGATATCTGACTATTGATCAGAGAATATATGATGTGTACTGCACAGCAGTTCTCTCTGTCTTCCTTTGTGTGGTTGTGAGACATGGTCAGTGAAAGTGGAAGGTTTGAAAACAAAGACTATCTGTCTTCGCCCTGTTTTAGATATGTATAACTCTCCATTTCACGGAACAGCGAAGTGGTTAGTGAAGATTTTGGGTCCTTTGCACAGAGAAATCGTGCAACATAGAATTAGTGATGTCTTCGACTTTATTTCTAAAATATCCGAGACTAATGTGAAGTATAAACGCATGTTATCCATGGATGTATCATCACTATTCATTAATGTACCGCTTATGGAAACAGTAGATTATATTTGTCAAGAAATTGCCGAAAGGCAATTAGACTTAGGAATCCCCTTGTGTAGCCTCAAAGAATTACTTCTTAAGTGCACAATGAATGTTCACTTTGTCTTCAATAATTCATACTATCGACAAGTAGATGGGATAGCTATGGGTTCAACATTAGGCCCAATATTAGCTGACTTCTTTCTCGCTAAACTTGAAAACGGGAAATTGAAGGACATCATCCAAGAGTTTGATATGTATTACCGATATGTCGATGATACATTTATCTTAACTGATGGACATGTTAAAATAGACGAATTGTTGCTGAAATTCAACAACATCCACCCTTCGCTTACCTTTACTTGTGAAGAGGAGCACGAGAATAAACTACATTTTCTGGATGTCTTGCTAAGTAGGAGAGAAGATGGGTCACTTGGGAAAAGCGTGTATAGAAAAAGCACATTCACACGGCAATACACACACTTCCTTAGTTACGTGCCCATTAAATATAAAAGGAATGTTGTAAAATGTCTTGCGAGCAGAGCAAGAAAGATATGTACTGATGACTTCTTACAAAAGGAATTAGAATATATTTACGATTCCTTGATGGAGATGGGCTATCCGAGTAGTTTCATAAAGAAACATATGAAAACATCGGAGAAAAAACCGGAGACTCTGACTGCATGTAAGAAACCTCTATTTATTAAGTTACAATTTAACGGTGACTTATCAAGTGATATTCTATTCCAAAGACTTTCAAGGAGTATACGAAGAACATTTTATGCAGCACACCTATGTTTGTCATTCTCTAGCCGACGAATGATTGGGACGCAAACGAAGCATAAGCTTGATAATTTTGAGGTTAGATGTAGAGTGTAAGTCAATCGATAAGGTTGTGAAACTACATTGATTGAGATGGCTAGGACATGTGTTGCACATACCAAGCCATCGCCTCCTTCGACAGGCAATGTTAGCCACTGACGACATAGGATTAGTTTGCAAAAGAGTTAGAGAGTGGTCAAGCCCAAAAGCTGAAATCAGTCAACGAAGAACTTTGACAGTTGATTTGAGCCACACAAAGAGCTTGTAGGCTGTCGGCTTGAGGCCATCGGGATGCTAAGATCTAATGGTTGGAGACTATCGGTGATATGGCTCAAAATTGTTCTTAATGACGCAGATGCATTCACTCTCTATGACTTGTGTATATCCACTAAATTGCCGTGTTTCTTCATGTTACCATCTTTTATCTTTCATATTTCTGCTTATTATAGTTCATTTGGATCTCATTATGGAATGTAGCGATGTGAACTGGCACACTACTGTGCAAAGACCTATGTTAAAACTCAGATACTTTGGTACACTTTCCTGAGTTTATCACATTTCTGCTAACAGGAAGAATATATATATCTATATCTTTTTGATTTGACACTAGTAACTAGTGTGATGCGTCTAATCCTCTCTTTGGTGCAGACTGAATTCTATCAGTCAGGTTGTAATGTGGCCACCATTCTAGGTAGCTCGCCATCACTGTGTACATTGATTGTGATAATATTAGATGGTTGGAGGCAATCGGCAGGAAGCCTTGGACCTAGGTTTCGTGCTAGTTGGCACTCGTTAGCAAGGCGTATTTGCAGCCTTGAAGGAACTTAATGTACACCGTGATGGCGAGGTACCTAGAATGGTGGCCACATTACAACCTGACTGATAGAATTCAGTCTGCACCAAAAGAAAGGACTAGACGCATCACACTAGTTACTAGTGTCAAGTCAAAATATCCACTACAGTCCTACAGGAGGTCATTCGCAAGCCCGAATAGCTCAGTGGTAACGTCTCTGACTGCAGCATTCTCTGGGTGACAGGGGTTCGAATCTCAGAAGGGACATGCGTTTCTTCAAGGTTGCAGATACGCCTTGCTGAAGATTGCCAACTAGCACGAAACCTAGGTCCAAGGCTTCCTGTGGCCGATTGCCTCCAACCATCTAATATATATATATGTATATACATATTATTGTTCCCAAGGGTTCCGAGTGAAACATACGGCTTCAACAACATATTTCCACTTTGTTCTATTTTCTACTATCCTCTTAAACTGAGCCCATAATTTCTCATAATCTCTGATCTCCTTCTTGCATGATCTCCCCCATGTCAAGACGACCCGGTTCGTCGTTTCGCATTCAGGTTCCACTCAAGTGATGGCCTGCATAACACGTGATGTTATTCGACTGTTGGTAGAAATATATTATCCACAGTGTAATGTTTATAACTGATGTACAAGGGCTTGTTTATATAAGTCGGGTATAAAACACAATTAGTGTCTGATGTATAACAATGAGAAGTTGTTTTCGTCTTGTTACCTTCAATTACAGTCAGTTAGTTAGTCATAGTAACTTTGATAGAAATCCTCCTGATTTAACACACTAAAATCGATGATCTAACAAGTACATTATGTTGGCTGGTTTCATAATAAAGTCTAAATACCAAATTAATAATACTAATGGTGTAGGCGTCGGTGGCACAGCGGTAGAATGGCTAGCCAACCAAGCCTCATGTGGTCCCGGGTTCGATTCCTGGTCGACTCACTCCTTTACCTTGCCAAGTCAGTAATAAGACTGGTAAATAGGGAAGGTTGGGCATGAGGCTAGCAACCCCATCCTGTAAAAATAATCACCACTGCTACCGAAACTTCAAGCCTCTAGATTATCTTTTCATATCAGGTTGAATAAAGAGTACTTAGTTTTATCAAAAATTAAAATCGTTACCAGACGGTTGTTTCGGAAGTGGTTAGTGATGGGAATATCAAAACCAATGTCCTAGTGATGAATAAACAACTCTAGCAGGCCTTAACAGTTCCATTTTTTAGTTTTTGTTAATACAAAACGAAACGTGGCCCTCGCTCAGGTTGGACATAGCACTTGTCTTTATTCGAAACTATTCGTCAATATGAAATAATGACTGTTTGTAAGCCTAAGTCTAGGATCGCCATGATCGGTCTATACCACTAGAGGTTGGTTCCACCTTTAAAGTATGAGCCACTACTTTTCACCCCAATGATGAGTAGTAACATGCTTGCTATGAGACCTAATAGTCCTGTTTTTAAATCTTGAATAGATTTCTGTGTTTTCGCCCCCAGTATATTTGTCCAGGGCTCCTTACTACCCAATAATTATATATTGACTGGTACTAAACTGTCTTTCACTCGAAGAAAGACAAATTGAATTGAACTCATGAATTAAACATAGGTCGTTTAATTCGATTTGGATTGAAGTGCTCGGCCTCAAGTTGACACGTCGGCTTCTTGTACAAATGCTTCGATGATGCCTGATTATTTAACTCGAAGTAAATTGGTGGGTAATGACCAGCAGTGGAATCCAGGATAGGCATTTCATCTCACTATGGACTGACTCGTCACATGGATTTACCTGCATTCCCCTGGGTTTGATGCAGTTCCCACTGAGGCTCGAACCCAGTACCCATAGTTTAAAACGCCAAACTTCCAATTAATCAATAGGAAAATCAAAATTGAATTAAACAATTACTGATTTCCTTTGCATAAGAGGTGGCTCTCGTGACCCAAGTGGTCTAGTGGATAACGCTTTCGTGTTTGAAACTATGGGCACTAGTTTCGAGCTTCAATGGGAACACCATCAGCCACTGAGGGATGCAGGCACATCCAGGTGACGATCTCAAAAAGGACGAAATGTACGTGCTGGATTCCACTGCTAGTCACTATCCACCAATTTAATCATAGGTCATTTTAGAAAGCTACAAGCTATATCCTTTTTAGAAAGAATGTTATTAACATATAACTAACAAACTTAAGTTGTTAGGTCATTTCCATTTCTGCTAACATTTGGTAGTTAGGTGTCAACCGTAAAAAACGATTGTAACGTTCTTGGGCATGCTCAATGACTTAAAGATTTCCGCTTCAAATCCATATTTCCGGTGGAACTCATTTCATCAACAGTAGTATTTTGGACTATAAATCTTTCTACGATTAACTTTCATCAAAATCCTTTTGTCTAGCGATATCCAAAATGAACTATTTGATCATCTGTTGAATATTTTTCGTAGTACTTCTTATTACAGATGTAAGTTTTGTATTTAACTAAGATTAAGTAAGCTTCAACGAGTGCCTTTGAATCGGTTGGACTTTCATTCCGATAAGAATCGAAATAAACTTCACTAATTTATGTTAGATGGTTGGAAGCAATCGTCGGAAAGTCCTGATTGTCGGCTTCCTGCTTGTTAGCACTCAACAGTCAACAAAGCCTATCTGCAACCTTCAGGGAACTCATGTTCATCCTGAGATTTGAACCTAGGTCAGCTAGTTGGTGGAGTCAGAGATGCTATGAATGAACTATTCAGAATTGAGATTGACTTCCTGTTGGACTGTGATGAATAGTTTATTCCGATACAAGGTAGTGAAATGACTCCTGTAATGCGTCAAGTCCTTTGTGTTGGCCCAGACTGAATCCTATCAAGAAATGATATTTTCTTTGATCTTTTGCACTCTATCCTTTCTCTGCTCTATTCTACTTTTCTACTCAGCGAAACATTTAACATTCATTATACATTTATGTAGAGTATTTTAAGATCCCTTTTGTATATATTTTTAAATTTTAAAGGTTCTTCAGTTGCTACTTCCAATCGATTATACGCTCCACTACCAGGAATAAATGCATATGAGTTATATGTGGCTTACGGTGGTCCAGGTGTTCCGAGTAATGGTGGCAACAGCTTTATAGATAATATGAAATTCGGTACTGGAGTCGTTTCAATCTTTCAAAGTAATAAAGAAAATGGAAGGAATAATGTCAAACCGTTGATGAAGATAGAAGGTCAAAGCTTTGGAAGTCGATTTGGTCATTCACTTATATTTATAGATATTAATGGAGATAAGTGAGTTATTTGTTACTCAAAGAAAGCCAAACTTTTCAAAGTATTTCAGTGAGATTACTAAATTATAATATAAACGAATTTACCTATAATGATTATTATTATACCCTTAGGTCCCAAGTGGAACATACAACTTCAACAGCACATCCCCATTTTATCCTATTCTCTTAACTCCTCTTTAGCTGTCCCCACGATTGCCCATAGACTCTCATTTCCTCTTCATACGATATCCTCCTTGTCTGCCTTGTTGTTTTCCACTGGGGTTCCAATCAACGCCTTGGCAAACAATGTCACTCAGTAGTCTCTTCAGCGTGTGTCCAAATCATCTTCATTTTCTTAGGAACTCCGGGTATCTTGATTAGTTCGTTGCACTACCTTTCCGATCCTGGCTGACATTGACACCTTCACCCGTACCGCCTGTATAAGTGAAATTGGCGACTTCCTTATGCTAATAATAGTGACTGGTGCTTGTTGTCGTTGTGTATGTAGTCTTCTGTCTTCTCTGAGTTCACTTGAAATCCTGTCTTTGATGCCTCTACTGCCGACTTGTTGGTTGTCGCCTATAGATCTTGGAGTTCGTTTGTGAAGTCCAGGTGCTACTGTCAGCCGTATCTTCTCGCTCCCCAAAGTCTGCTAAAACAATTTACCTAACAATTACTGGAATGCAGTGTTTACACTTCAGCTTTCTCAAAAACTGTTCTCTCTCTAAACCTAAGACAGTGTCTCAAATGTTTCAGCCTTTCAAAATCTGTTCGTCAGTATTCAGTACAAATGTCATAAAGGTTAAGCATGACTACTATTGATTGTCGCAAAGAAAGTTCTTCTTAAAGAGGTGGAGATTCTCCTTCTAAGGACGTCACTGAGTAGGTCTCCCTTGAAGTCGAGGTTCATATAAAGTATCTTTTTTGGCACGGATGCTGTTTCTTGCTTTTGGATTTTTTGTTTGATGTTTTTGTCCACGAATCTTGATGGGTAACCATTTTGAATGAAGGTTTCTTTCAGAAAGTTTAGTTCTTCTTCCATGGTATCTGAGCTGTAGATGCGTCGGACGCGCGTGGCAAGAGATCTAATTAAGTTTCTTTTCCGACCGATTGGTACCCAGCTGTAAAAGCTTGTCAGTTGACCGTCCCATGTAGGTTTCCTATGGATGGACCTTCTTAAAGTTCCGTCAGCTCTCCTTGTAAGTTCAACATCAAGAAAAGGGATTTTAGATTCTTTTTCAATTTCGAGAGTGAACTTTGTGGCTGAATGGCATTTGTTGAATATTTGCAGTAACTGATTGAGATCGTGGCCGTCATCACAGCATCTGCAGCTCAGATACCATGGAAGAAGAACTAAACTTCCTCAAAGAAACCTTCATACAAAACGGTTACCCATCAAGATTCGTGGACAAAAACATCAAACAAAAAATCCAAGAGCAAGGAACAGCATCCGTGCCAAAAAAAGAGTTGACTTCAAGGGAGACCTACTCAGTGACGTTCTTAGAAGGAGAATTTTCACCTACTATTGATTGTGTTGTCTTAGTTTCTCAAATGAATTCATTCAATAAGACAATCTGAATCAGTATGAAATTAAAAAACAACAACCTCTGATGATAGTTCTTAGACTTTCTGAAACAGTCAAAAGATCGTTTACTGAGAAAATCAAGAGATATTTATGTATTTTTATGTACATTATTATTAGCGTTATTGTTAGCAGAGAAGCAACGTCTTCTGATTGGTTGTTTTCCTGCTGAAGGTTATTCTGTCATCTCTTTGTGGCCGTTTCTTAGATAGTCCGGTCATATATCTGCGAATCGTATCCTCCCACGCTAAGTTTGCTGTGATTGGTTGTTGAGTTCATCAAGGTTAAGCTTTGTTCGGGACGTAAACAATGACGTCAATTGTTGTCTACATTTTTATCTTGCAGACAGCTCTCACCACAGTTATAGCTTAGACAACAGACCTGAAGTATCACAGAAGGTATTCGAACTAGTAACCTGTAGATTACCAGTCTAAAAGCTCCTTCATAATTATCAGTTCTAGATAGAATTTACAGGTGTGTAAAATGAAGAAATACACTGCATTAAACATGACTTATAAATATCGCTTACAAAATAATAAACTGCATGTTATTCGGACTCACTAGTTAACTTTTTTTCTCTCTCTCTCTATGAATCACACAAACTAATTAATCATGAAGTATCTATTTGGATTCATTTTATAATTAGATTGAGTGACACCTAAAATTCTTAATAATATTTAAAATATTTCTCTCTGTTACAGAGTGTTATGATACATTGACTTATTTTGTTCAATATTAAGTACTCTACTCAATTTATTCATGTGACTAAAAGTTTTAATTGACACTACACACTACTTAACTACTTGATTCATCGATAGGGTGGATTTAGTCTATGCATAATCAATCGACAAATACAGATCAGTACGTTTAGCAATTTCACTATTTACCTATATATATATATATATATATATATATATATATACCATGAAACTGTGCTGACTTTAAGCTAAGTTATTGGGGGGGATATTCAAAGTGAAGACGGGAGTAAGACAAGTTGGCTGCCTACTGTCTCCAATGATTTACCTGATTGCGGTAGACTGGATAATGCGACAGACAGCGACGGGCAGCGAGGGAATAGGCATAAAATGCACCCACACAAAAAACTTGGAGGATCTGGACTTCGCCGATGATATATGTCAGACTTCCTTCAAACTGGAAGATATGCAGGTGAAAAGCAACAAAATGGCAGAAGATGCATCCAGAGAGGATAGGACTTCACGTGAACATAGAGAAAACAGAGGTGATGAAGATTCCTGGCCAACAGCAATGACAACAGTCAACAATCAGCATAAATGGGAGAAATCTGAAAGAAGCAACCTCGTTTACCTACCTACCTGGGAAGCATCGTTTCAACTACAGGTTGGTGTAACTGACGAGGATATCAAAGCGAGGATCGGGAAAACAAGACAAGCTTTCATTACTCTCAAGTCTGTGTGGAGATCAACAGCACTCAGCATCAAAAATAAGACCCGGATTTTCAACTCCAGTGTGAAGTCAATGCTACTATACGGATCAGAGACTTGGCACCGCGTCACGAAAAGCACCTCAAACAAACTACAAACCTTCATCAACAACTATCTTCGCTCAATACACAAGATCAGATGGCCGGCCAGGAAGGATCAGCAACAGAAATCTCTGGCGATGAGCGAACCAACCCAGCAGGAACCAATTGTGCAACAAATAAGCAGGAAGAAATGGAGGTGGATTGGTCATACTCTGAGAAAACAGACCATCAAGCGACATCACAAGACAGGCCTTCGAGTGGAACCCGAACGGGAAGCGGCGAGTTGGTCGTCATTGTGAAGGTGGGGTGACATGGAGGAGGTCATGTGAAAAGGAGATGAAAGCATGTGGGCAGACATGGAGCCAGGTGGAAACGTTAGCGGAGAACCGAACGCAATGGAGACGTACGTCTGAAGCCTTATGTTCCTCTAGGAACTAAAGGAAACAATAATAATAATTGATAGGATAAATTAAAAAAAACGGAACTCAACTACTACACTTTGTAAACCCTATTGTTGTGGTATTTCAAGAATGTAAGTATACGTATATATGCAATAAATGCACAAACACAGACCGACTTAATCAAAGTGATCTTAAATTCAAGTTGAATAGCAGTTTTCAAGTACTTTTAATCTTCTTTTTTGTATCATGTTGCTGTAGCTCAATTGATTGAATCTAAGGGTGTTTGGAAAAATCTTTGTAGTTTTACTCTTCTAGTTGTCACTTATAAATTTTTATAATCTATAAGTGGCTGTTGTATCGATCTATAAGCACTACTGATCGATATTAGCAGCAGTAACCCATTAGTCCACATGCATCATTTTACTATTATTATTATTATTATTAAGATTATAGTTAATCATGAATATACTATTTGGGAGGGAGACACGCCGGACACACGCTAAGGAGACTGTTGAATGTCGTCGCTCTCCAGATTGGAACCCAGTTTGGCCTGGATCCGAGGGTGGTATGAAGGAGACAGTGTGAGGAGGAGATGAAAGTTTATTGGCGATCGTGGAGCCAGTTTAAGATGACTGCAGAATACAGGATGAAATAGAGATGTGCTGTTGAAGCCGTATGTTCCACTCAGAACCCAAGGGAATAATAATAGCAATAATTCTTGATAGTATTAAATATTATCCCCTAGTCGGTAGTAAGACCGGAACCCAAGGAATGAAATTAAAAAAGTGCCTCCCTAAATTTCCTGCGGCGTGTGCTACTGATAAGTCTTATCAGTAGTTTATAAAGGGATGTCCATCGGCATAAAATCACCAAGTAGCAGGGTGATAAATTTGACGTCAACGACAGCAAATGACAAAACCAGCGTTGCGGGAAAACATGAGAGACACGAAAAGAAAACGAAGAAACACAATACGAAGGACAGAAGTAGCACAACACAGAAAATCTGTGCATTAAATGATGATTGGGAGATAAGGTGTACATAATTTCGCTACATAGAGATACCGAATTCCAAAATAAACATTCTTTTACCAAGTCTCTTATATTCTACCGTCATGATTGGTGCCGACGCTTCCAGGTAACGAAGATTCTATGGCCGGCTGCTTTCGAGGAAGGAGACATCAGGAGTTTCTTGCGGGACTTCAATGCCATCGCTGAGTCGGAGGGCGTCAAGGGTACGATGGCGAGAGCAGTTGTGCTGGGGACGCTGCTGAGAGACAGAGCAAAGGCAGCGTACGACGGTGTGGGGTAGCGAGAAAGAGACCGGGAAGGTGTTGGTTGAACGATTGGTGGTAGAGTTCGACGAACAGTCATCTGGCGATGCAGGAGTTCCATGCCGCGAAGCTGGGACCGGATGGAGACTCGTTAGTGTTGGTGGTGAAGCTGACGAATCTACTAAGTCACCCACTCCTCACATTGGACGAAGAGTCGGAGCTGCGGTTATTGACGTCTCAATTCATCGAGAGCGTCTCAGACCA